TCTTACATCCTGCATTTAGTGTGCATTGGTATTATTAGTGCTGTACTTAAAGTATCAAAAAGTACTCATTGTGCAGGAAATGGTGGTTGAATATTACACATGATATTATTATTATTACTGAAACATCCACCTGCAAGTAGCATTTTACAGTGGAAGTTAGTCCAGGTGGTGATCACTGTGTGTAAACATGTCTTGTGAGTAAAATCCTAATCTGCACTTTCTTTTTTACCTAGATGTTTTGCGCTCATTGTGCAGTGGGACACCAGCTTGATTAAAAAATTGACTAATGAGTAGTCATTTCGAGTGTGTATTGTACAGTGCAGAGAGTGTAGTGGCCGGTTCTCATGGGAAGTTAAGGTCTGATCTGAGCTATTTGGGTAGTGGCGGGCCTGGCTACTTGGCTGTACCTCATCATGCTGCAGAATGCTCCTCAGGCTTGGAGCAGAGAGCAGGGGCACTGCCTGATTTTTTTTTCTTCCTCTTTTTGCCTCCGGGACACAATTGCCTCATTTAACATTCTCTATTTGGCCCCTGCCAAGAGGGGAAATAGCCAGGGTGAGAAAGAGAGGCCACCACACATCATGAATTCTTCTTTCATTTAACTTGCACAGTCCCTTTTCACCTTGGTGATGCACATGGATCAGGAATGAAGATATTGCTCAATTAAGGGGATTTCTGAGGTTGCTCCTGAGGTATTGCAGTTATTTTTGTGCCATGCCAAGGTTTTGATGCATCATGGATATGGATATTGGGTTCATCACATTTGTGTGATTCTTTGACATCTCCACAGTGCAGAAGAGAAACAACTCTGTTCCTCCAGCAGGAACTTGTCTCTGCCATATTCAAGAAATAAAGTCCAGGGGTGGATGTCTGTCAGTTTGCCACTGTAGGGGCATAAATAACTTTCATGTCTGTATTAAGACTTTTTTGTTTATTTCCATTTAATTGGACACAGTTAAAACATTTTCATGAAATATGTCAAAATTGATATTAGAATTCTGGATGACAGAAAGCAAAGGGACTCCTTGGAAATGTCACATTTTGTAGGAGGCGTTGTCAGTATGTTGTCAGTAATATACAGTAAAAGTATTGGCCCAGCCTTGACTTTGACTTCACCCACACAATGAAAAAATATTTTAGTAATTAAAAACTAAATGAAAGAAAATAATGGTAGTGAGCACCATTTTCAGAGCAGGATAGTAGCTGGCACGCCACAGAGTGACGCCCTAATAATAGCTGTTCAGTTTAAATCTCTGGCTTGGCAGGAATTACTGAGGATGTGTTCTGTGGGGGGGCAGCGCAATGCAGAACTTTGCATTGGGAAATGCAATGAAATGAAATGTACCAGGCTCCATAGTTAAGGGATAGGTGGGAACAGAGGATTAAATAATAAGCTTTTCAGTTCAATTTGTACATCAGCATCTTTCGCCAGACGGATGGCACAAAACTCATAGCATCTTAAGGGTTCAGTGGAAAATCACTAATGACAAAGCTTTGTAAACAGATAAACAATTTATGTCAAATATGCTGAAAATATAAAACAAACTTCAAAACATGTTAATACTTTAAAGAGGCTGTATTTTGATTTGCACCACTGCAAAGCTGGTAAAGCTGTTGACAGCACAGCTTACACATCATGTGATCAGAGGCCATATCTGCCTGCATGTCATTAGCAGGAAGTGCTGCTACAGAAATAGCCAAAACGGAGTCGTATCCAATTGGAACAGTTTGATGGTGATCGATTATGTTCAAGTAAACTGTGCAAATCAGATTAGACAGAGCGTGCGTGATACTGTAAGATGACAAAAAGAGGTGACGTGTTGCAGGGGACGTCTCCTGCTTCTTATTATCTCAAAGCAGGCTTGGTGAAGTGACAGAGTAAACATCCAGAGAGAAATGCAGCCACCATTATGTCAGAAGCAGCCAATATTCTCTGTGTGTGTATTTCAGAGAATGCTTATCTAGTAATTACTAAAAACTGTTGACACTGAGCGAGCGCTGTAGCCAACTAAAATGCCTTTTTGTCTTATGATATCAGATTGGATTTTTATCTTATGATTCAAGCAGTGACACATTCCTGAAAACCAGAGATAACTGCCTTATTTCCAGCATGAGCGTAGAATTAAGACACTCATTTTGAAAAACAACTATCATTACATCCTGAATTCAGTGGTAAAATGCTGATAGTATATATATTTTTCTTCTGGTTCAGTCTAGGATGTGTCTGTGAATCTCTGAGACATACATTTGGCCATAATCAAGTTTTTTAAGCTTCAGAAACTGGATAACAACTGGGTCAGATGATAAGCCTGGGCAAAACAGGAAAAAAAGCCCTCTCTGATAGACGAGGAGAAAATCTGATTGATTGATGTCTGCTGGCTGTGCCACCATCACAAGCCAGTTGACAGTTAGTTTGGGATCAGATGATTTCACTCTTAAGATTGGGGTTGAGGGGAAGCTAGGCAAATATGAAGGACACAAAGGTCAATGGCTTCTCTCCTCCTCGCTGTATCTATCTCTGCCTTGCAATAGCTTGCTTTGACAAACTGTAATATGTTGCTAAGCTTTGTGGCAGCAGGACACATGGTCATAGTTTGTACAGTAATATCCTATTGCAGTAATCTCACAAGGAATGATTGAAAGTGCTGGAGGAATCTGGTACTAGCAGGGACCCGCTGACATCATCAGCTGCTGTGGACTGGCAGATGTCTCTTGACTTGTTTGAACTGAATTTTCCCAAGGGATTAAATAAGTTAAAAACAACAGCTCTGACTCAAAGTGAATCTGTTATTGTAAGTAGGATCTGATAAGATGGCACAATATTATAAGACTGTGTAGTAAACAGGCCAGAAATGGAATCTCCAGCGGGTGTCTCTCTGTAGTTTTGGACGAAGACCAACATGGAACTGTGACCAAGGATGATTGGATGCATATTGTAAATAAACACCCAAGTTTTGATTTGCCTCTTGGCCTCAGTCTCTACATAAAGATTTTCCATATGACTTTTCCTCTGTTCTTGGTGCATAGATCGTGTATCACTAAGTTGAAGTGACAAGAGTTGCTCTGGATTTGACCCCATGTGGCAAAATAGCAGCAACACTCAGATTAAGTTGCATATTGTAAATAAACACCCAAGTTTTGATTTGCCTCTTGGCCTCAGTCTCTACATAAAGATTTTCCATATGACTTTTCCTCTGTTCTTGGTGCATAGATCGTGTATCACTAAGTTGAAGTGACAAGAGTTGCTCTGGATTTGACCCCATGTGGCAAAATAGCAGCAACATTCAGATTAAGTTTAACCAGAACAAATGCTTGGATTTTTTTTTTTAGAACCAACCTTTATTTGTTATTTTGTTCCTTTAGCTTTTACTATAGAGCCGAAATTTAAAAAGACAGGCCTTAGGTTCCCATTGTGATAATATTAAATAAAAGGCCTTCGTTTCATGTCCATTAGCTTTGTATGGGGCTGCTTTCAAGATCAAGGTCTCACTTGTAATGAAGTGGCTATGCAAATACAGTACAAGTCAAATTCTACTACTGTGAATCCCTTGTTGTAATCAAGTTTGCACCGTCTGAAATGTAGCCTCCACTCAGAGCCACTAACCAAACAATAAAATGGATAATCCGAAGACAATTCCCCT